AAAAAAAAAAAAAATTCTGTCCGTACAAATACCCTCTCAAAGGCTGAATGGCATTAGCATAATATGTGTTTGTGTTTGTTTATATCCTTTTTTTCTTGGCTGCTCACAATCTCATCATTATACTGGACTGTATGCTGAATAACAAGATGTAGGCAGGTTACAAATGCAACCTGTAGGCCAGGCACAGTGGCACTCTCTCTTGTAATCCTATCATTCTGGGAGGCTGAGTCAAGTAGATTGCTTGAGCTTAGGAGTTGGAGACCAGCCTGAGCAAGAGCAAGACCCTATCTCTAAAAATAACTAGGCATTATGGCAGGTGCCTTGTAGTCTTAGGTGCTTGGGAAGTAGAGGCAAGAGGACCACTTGGCCCCAAAAGATTGAAATTGTGTGAGCTGTGACACCATGGTACTCTACTCAATTAACAACAAAAAAAATAACTTATATAAAGCTTAGCCTCACCTTTTCAAATATTTTGAAGTCTGTCTTTCTAAGTGAAATGGCCAGAGACTACGAAGTGTGAAATAGCAGCCTACCTGGGCATCCTACAAAATGTTTAGTTTGGTAAGACTTCTCACCTCCATTTTCCCATGTTGGTCTCTTAGAGTGGGTAGTGGGAACTGAGCTATAGTTGGAAAATTACTTAGAGGAAAGTTTAACTACAGTTTAGGCTGAGTAAATTAAAATGTGTTCTAAATAGTGTTGAAGTCTAGAAGTATCTCTACAAAGTTACTTTGTTATACAAGTTACATTGGTTTTTCAAAATTGGGAGTTTATTTAGATTACAAGTATTTTGTGCTTAATTTTATTATTATTACATCAGGGATAGTGAATTATGCATGACTTTCTGTGCCTGTTCTCCATTATAGGCTATGGAAAGGGCAAATGGAATGGAGCTGGATGGCAGAAGAATTCGTGTGGATTATTCTATCACCAAGAGAGCACACACACCTACACCTGGCATCTACATGGGCAGACCAACTCAGTAAGATTTTGTTTCCTAAGCTAAACTATGAAATCCACCAGAAATGCGTGTAAGATTTTGACTAATCAGAAGATAAAGCCGGGCATGGTGGCTCATGCTTGTAATTCCAGCACTCTGGGATGCCAACGCAGATGGATTGCTTGATCTTAGGAGTTGAAGACCAGCCTGAGCAAAAGTGAGATGCCATCTCTAAAAACAGCTGGATATTGTGGCAGGAGCCTGAGGTCCCAGCTACTATGTACACACACACTCTCACACTGTCACACATATTTGACCAGGAGAACTATATAAACCTATCGAAGGGTATTCCTGTCTCTTCATATTATACAAATATGGAAAAAAATTGCATATGAGAAAATATATGCTATTTATAAATATATATATATATATTTTTTTTTTTTTTTTTTTTTTTACTTTGTTGCCCTCAGTAGAGTGCTGTGGCGTCATACAACTCACAGCAACCTCCAACTCCTAGGCTTAGGCGATTCTCTTGCTTCACCCTCATGAGTAGCCGGGACTACAGTCGCCCTCCACAACACCTGGCTATTTTTGCAGTTTGACCCGGGCCAGGTTTGAACCCACCACCCTTGGTATATGGGGCTGGTGCTCTACCCACTGAGTGGTAGACACCACCTTTCTTTATTTATTTTGAGACAGAGCCTCAAGCTATCCCCCTGGGTAGAGTGCCATGGCATCACACCTCACAGCAACCTCCAACTTCTAGGCTCAAGCAAGTCTCCTGCCTCAGCCTCCCAAGTAGCTGGGACTACAGGC